AGCATCTTCAGAGGGCTGCCCTCTGAAGATGCTGGTCACAGATGCTGGCGGAACGTTAGGAAACAAAACTTCCAGAACACGGCCACACAGCCCGGAAGATCCACACCAGCCAAAAGTAACAGGCTCTGTATCTGGAGGGGAAAATGCCACCAGCTCCAAAGTCTTGTTTTTTCCCTATTTCTGAAATCCTGGTTCAGCAGCTTTGCCAGAGGGCACCACTGAGGATGTCAGGTCCTTGGCAAGGCGAGCATAGCTGGCAGGTGGGGGGCTTCCTTTTTTTACTGGCGTTTCAATTGATCCTTGTTCTCATTTTAAACAGCTAAGCTAACCCTCCACCCTGCAATCCAAGGCATGCTTAAACCTTTCAGGGATGATGAGAAAGAACTGCCATTGCCTGTTTCTTAAGATGCCACTCTCCCCATATACTGGTTTGTCCACATCACACACTCGTTCAACTACAGGAGTGCAACTTCTATTCAGAAAAAGGCTGCATGAGATCCAGGACTGATGCCGAAAGGCAACATTCAACTTCTGGGGGGGTAATTCTGCATGACCTCATCTTCGGAAGACACAGACTCATCTACACCACCCCAGACACTGACATATCTATCAAAACTGCCTGCTCCCATCGCAGGCTCGAATAGGAAGATGTTAGCCAGCAGCCTCTTCGGCGGGTGTCACAGTCATTCACAGGCATTTATGAAATCATTATTAATGTAAACTTCAAAACATTTGGAGCACATGTAAGTGTCCCAGCGCTGATGAGAAATCACCAGTGCCTGCCTTAATTTTTTATTTAATCGAATCAGAGTTGACTGTATGTGTTTGAGTTGCACATCAGACTGGGAGATTGATAGCGCAGTGATCCATACGCTCTTAAGACAAGTTCCCGTGAATCATCTCTCAGTTTCTAAAAGAGCTTTGCTCACTGATGCACAGACCTCCCCAGTGGTTCAGTTGCCATGAACAACCACACTGTGCAGTGCGAGAAGGATCCCTGGCATTTGTCCTTATAGATCTTCCAATCCAGCAGATCATGCATTGCTCGATTTTGCTACGAGCTTATGGTAAGCCCTGCTAGCCCGTTATTTTGTATGAAATCCAAAGCAGGCCACAGAGGTAAATTTGGACATTTCAAGATATTTGATGAGGGTCCCCCCCCCCCGCTTTTAGCATCTGTTCAATAGAAATGGTCAAGGGCAACTTCCAACTTGTATTATAGCAAGGACATGTATGCAAAACTATATTTTAAAATAAAACATGGCAACAGATTTTGGATTATCAAGAAAAAGGAATGGAAAGGGACTGTAGGAAATGTAAAAGAGAATACAAAAGAAAAAAAATGGGTTTTTGTTTTGCAATGTTAGACTTTACTTTTTTTAAACAAAGACACTACCTTCAAGGGAGCATCAGGTAAAGCCAATCCTTTATAGCTAAGGCTGGGTGGGAAGGAAAAAAATGGAAATGAGACTGTATCCTCTCCCACCCCTGCATCTCCCAATCCATTAGAAATTCAGGCAGAGGAAGAGTGTTGGGGAAAATCCAGGTTTCACAAAAAGAAACTGAGGCAGGGAGCCAAATGAAGGGGGGAAGGGGATGAAGGGGTGAGCGTGTTTCTCCCTCTTTGCATCTTGGCACAGAAGGACCCTCAAGGCTCACTTCCTTAGATTCTCAGCCCAGGAGATGCAACTCTTGGCACTCAGGCATGTCTCCGTTTCTTCTTCCTTCCTGTTGAAATGCACACTGCATCCTTCTTGGAGGCAGGGAACTTTCTCGTTTGGGTCATTGTCTGAACCGCGCGCTTGGATGTCAATGGCAAGTGATCCCTCTGCTGGAATCTCACCAGATCCAAAATGCCATTTGCAATTCTAATTGTAGCTTCATTGTAGAAATGAAACTTGCAGAACTAGAGAGCTGATTGGTGTCTGGAGAGATGGACACAGTTTGTCCGCTCCCTGCCTCACAAATGACACCTCAACTTAAACATGTTATGTGAACCCAGTCTAAAAGTACGTGAACGGTTGGCTAAAGTTAGCCTTACAATTCTCTTGCTCCTGAAATAGTTCTTCTCTACCACGATGTTCATAATTACCACCCCCCCACCATCAAAAACAATCTGTAGAAATCTTTCTGCTTGCAACTTCCCAAACGATGTTCAGAACCGCTTTGCAAATGCATCCTTTAATCCGCATATCTCATAAACGAAGACTTCTCCCCCAGAAGCTCATCCCACAACAAATGATTCTTTCTTTCTAATGCTGCAAAGCATGCTGTGACTGATGACTGAGGACAAACTGAATGCCTCTCCAAAAATCCAGCATGCAGATGTTGGTTGGCTACAGACTTCTTCACAATCCTTCTTATGAGGGCGAAATTAAACTGGCCAGTGTTCACATTTTTAGCTTTTGCATCATTGCTCTTTTTTGCAAAGAGAAATCTACCGTTGCTGTGGGAGCAAAGGATTAACGCTGACCTCCCCAGCCATCTTCCCCTGGCTTAGGCCTGGTGGGCTTGTGATTGCTGTTTAAAAATCAGTCAAGAATGTGAGAAACAACAATGATTAAACTGGACCACATGTCCTTTGGCTATTTTCATCAGGGAAATGTATGCAGTCGTTAGCCAGACCGTCTCTTTTCCAAACCTTCCACGTGGATCAGTGATGCTCCTCTGCTCATTTATCTAATGGCTACATAAACTTGGAAGATGGAAACTCACTGGAAATTTATTTTTTTTAAAGAAATACATAACTGTGCTTTGCAATCTAGTCTCTTCTGATATTGGTGTGGCCCAGCCCTTTTTTAATAATGGTTCAAAATATGCAGTCATAGATATACCAGACTGGTTAAAAATAGTCAGCTGGTGCTTAAACTTGGCTGATATTTGTTCCCCTTGGACAGCATGAACATTGACACGGGTGCTTTGCAGAGCAAAGAAGGGGACAGTTAGACAAGCCAAACCCTACCAAGTGTGAAGAGCCGTTGTTGGCAAGGGCTGGGAGACTGGCCCACCGCTCGTTCTCCAGTTCTTCCATCACTTGATTCATTGCACTTTTCAGCCACGTATCCACCGAAACTCCAATTTGCTTCAGGAGGTCAAGGCGAGCTTCTGCTTTCAATTTTATGATCTAAGATGACAAAGACAGAGAGAGAGTTACTCAGATCCTTGGTTTTATTCATCAGTCTGAAGAAAGAGGCTTTTTTTTTTTACTGTGAAAATGATTTTTTGCAGCCTCTGCAAGAGGGTGACCAAAATGAAGAGAAACGGGTTTGCCCAAAATTTTCCCCATTCTTTTTGGGAAGAAGACATTGCAGTTTGATTTCAAATGCTTGCTCCTTCCTAAGATACCCTTGTTGTGACTTTGTAGAGTTTGACTGTTACTGACCTGTAAGAAGGAAGGGGATTACTGTACCTCTGGAGCACTGTATATTAATTGTGGCTGTGATTGTTTCTAATTATTGGGACTGTTGTTGTTTTCAATTTCATTTACTATATAAATAAATAAATAAGCAGGCAAACAAATATTAGCAAACAATTACCCATGGTTCAAGCCAGGGTAGAAAACATGCATTGTGGGAGGAGAATCCATAATTAAAAGGAGCTCATATTGGGACATTTTCTAAAGATCCTGGATAAATAATGTCAATCATAGTCAATGTGGGCTAGAGTAACCTTCTACCACCTATGTCCTCCAGATATGTAGCACTTTAACTCCTGGAATTCCTAACCAGAAAGGGTTGTGCTGGCCAAGGATTCTGGGGGTTCAGTCTAAAACATCTGGAAGACATCTGGTTAGGGCAAGCTGTGCTGAAGCAACCAATAGCTGGACTTATTCCTTGGGAATATTAAAGCCTTAGAAACTAGAAGGAAAGCAAGAAGCAATGTCTTTTCAGACCCAAAGATTCAGAAATCACTGCCACACACCTGTATCTGTTGGGTGTAAGACATCTGAATGGACCAGATGTTTCCCTCTTGGTTCTGCCCAAATCCAAAGAGCGTAAATAAAGAAGTACATCAATAGCAATGCCAAAGAGCCATGCTTCTGGACCACATGAATTTCTACAAAAGTTGGCTCATGGGGAGACGGTACTGAGTGAGAGGAACTGGGAAGAACTTGACAGAAAGCAGAAGCCACAGCTACTAAACTTAGTAGCTGGGTCCCACTCTGAATCAGTACCGAAAATACAGGGAACACCAACAACAATGTGGTGCCAAGGATGCAGAGACCTTTCCTGGCTACCTTGGGATCAAAGGTCTCAAGATAATACTGAAGCACTGAAGCTTCTACCATAATGTCCTTGAGGAACATGGATCACAGAATGGTTGGCTTGGAGATCTTCTCAAACACACAGAGGCACTTTATAATACAAGGATCATTAAAAATGAACTACTGAACTAACTCAACAATGAGGTGTCTCTATCTCAGATACAAACATCTGAGAATATTAACCTGTAGATGGTTCTCTTCATAATGGTTCCTATAAAGGTTCTCAGCTGAGAAGAACAGAGCGGCCAAGCTTTCCCTGAACCAGACAAGGCTGCAGCTCTCATAAGAACCCAAACGGATCGTCTGTATTTCTTGGCACTGAGCCTCCAAGGACAACACTACACTGAGGAGGAGCACCCCCACAATATGGACCTCCTCTTCCAGAACTGTCAAAAGCTCGTAACAGGCTGCTTAACAATCAAGAAAGCTAGATGCTCACAGGGCCTCGTCGGTCAGATTTATTGCAAGAAAAAGGGGGTAAGGTTACAGCAACTGGATATGGGCATTTTATCAGTGAATATGTTAACACAGAGCCTTCCTCGTGTCTTTGATCTTCTTTCTAGCTGCCTCTTGGTTGCTATCTGCTTAGAAGATACAAAAGGAATACTAATTTCTTCTTGTCTGCAATATTTCGCAAACAGTTATTCTTGTTCCTAGACTCTGAGTGTTCCATTACAAGAACCAGCAATTCCCCTAAACTCACCCACAGAGCTTCTGTCTGATCAATATCTGGGTCAGCTAACTGGCCATTATCTCCTTACTAAACCACTGGTCAATGTCATGGATGAATGTATTGTTTTGGATGTCACATGATGTTCCCCACTGATTTTCTCTATGATCAACCCTGCAGACAAGAGGAGAACCACCGTGTAATAGCCTCTGTCATCCCCAGTCTGGGTAGCCCGTCAAGGATATTGTTATTTATTTATTAATTAAATTTGTATGCTACCCATCTCCCCCAGAGATTATTACCAACAAAGGTATCAGAAGTCAAGCGAAATCAAGGGACAGCCACGCCTTTTTGACCAAGGCTGCTTCCATTCCAGAATCAGGCAAGACTGAAATGGATTTGAATGCAAAAATGACTCCTAAGACCTCTGCAGTTTTGCCCACACGTTCCATGGGAAGCTCTTGAGCTAAAAGTTGGCCCTGGAACCACTGCTTGGTCAGCACCCAGTGCATATTTTATGCAGGAACAGAGAACTGCCCGATGCAAAATAGGTTACTTTTAGATTAAGAATCCGAAGGGGGAATGCACGGGAGGACAGAGAGCAAGAGTTCAGAGCAAGTTTTCCTGGGAAAGAGCAATGACATGACTTTGGGCCCCAGGGCTACTTTTTCAACATTGCTTATCGCTGAACCATCAGCTGCATGACTTGAGATCCATTGTTGGAGCCCGTTCTCATGGGGCAACCTTTCAAAGGGGGACAGAATAAATAGGAACCTTGCTCACATAAGAGTGTGTCTGTGCACCACAGTCCAAAGGAGGAAGCAAGAAAAGAAAGAGAATTGCTTTCAAAGCTTGAAAAAATTACGTAGGGCCGATCAGAGAAGAGAAAACAAATGGGCAGATGAAACTGTGTGCAAATATTGATCTATGCACTACTCTAAGAGCTGCAGATTTCTCCACCAACCAGTCCTCCAATCTGCAACACTCCATAGGAGTCTGATTACAATTGCCATTATCCCCAGCCAAACTGTAGCAGTTGTAGGAATAGGATAGTCCAACATACTGTATCTGTAATGATATTTTAGACTCAGAAATTGTTTTTTCCCCCCCACATTTAGAATCCATGCTCTGTAACGGAGAAGTGGTGACTGAAGTAATAAGCAATTGACCCCAAAACACTCCCACTAACTGCTGGATAAAACTCTGCGATTGGTGCAAAACCAGTAAAAAAATGCATGTTCCACCGTCAGAAGCCGTTGCGTCAGCAGCTAGAATTCTAGAAGAGATTTATACTTTGGGAATGTTTTCTTAAATTATATTTTAAAAAAAGTCTCCTTGGAGAGCAAAAAGGCCAGCAACAGAGAAACGGCCCACGCATCCTGCTGGAAAGAGCATTCCTCCACCCAGAAGCGGCCCACGAGGAACACCCAGTTTCTTGCACCCCTGGCAGAGGAAAGCAGGAACCCAATGCAAAGGAAGAGATAGAGGAAGGCCTTCTGGAGACCTTTTGAACCGAATCCGGTTGAGGCACTAAAAGAAGGGGTCAGCACTCTCAGACGGGACCAACCGAGTGCAGTGCAGCCCAAACTGATGTCTAGTTGCAGGGGAAGGATGGTGGGTGGGCAGCAAAGGGGGCTGAGGAGTTGTGCAATGGGCACAGAGGCGAAGGAGCCAAGGGGGTAGACAGAAAAAGCAGAGATCAGGAAATGGGAAGGGGGGTGAGAAGGAGGAGGCCAGGTGGGGGGTCCTCAGGATGGGGTAAAAAAAAAAAAAAGTCAAGTTGGCTGGTGGCCACGAGGATAAATCTGGCTCAACACTGGAAAAGAGATGCTTTGTTGACAGCGTCAGATGGGGCAGCCAAACTTGGGGCATAGGCAGCAATGGCAAAATTAACCAGTATACATTCAGAACAGAGGCTTGACTGAATTGAAGCAAGGATGGGTCCCCTTATGGGTCCCCTTATGTCCCACAAGGCAAATCCAACCCCCAGAGCATGGGTTTTAAGGGGGAAATAACTGATGTCAGGACTATAATTAGAAATCATTTCAGTGTTTATAAGTTTGTTGATGTAATCATCAGCCGGGTACAATAGAAGGGAATTTAAGACTAGGTAGTTTTCCAATACTGTTTTTATTGACTTTTCTTTCTTTCTTTAAAAACATGACTGACTGACTTCCTTCCCTCCCTCCCTCCTATCCCTTTTTATATTATTTTTTTAAATATGCGCATTTATCCTTGGAATAATGATAAACAGTGGTGTTATTAACCTTATGCTCAGAGCTTTATGGAGATTGCTAGTTATTTTTTAAATGATACAAATTAACTTTGTTCCTTACATGTACAATCAATTAATTAGCGAAATTATGAACTTCAAATTTCAGTATAATTGTAAACTCCCCATTTACTCACTGATATTTTATTCTTTATTCACTATGCCACTGTCTATTTATTTATTTAAAAAGATTTATATAGCCCCTCGTATTGTAACAACAGCCCTGGGCAGTGCACAAAATAATAAAAACAACAGAAACCCCCAAGCCATAAAACAAAAATCAATAAAACCTCTAAAATCCCTATAAAAACTCATGGCACCCCAGGGCAGCACTCTCACACCATCCTGCTGGGCTCCAATGCGTTTATCTTCTTTTCTTCTTTTTTGCAGCTGTTTATTCTGTTCCTTCAAATGTTTTAATAAATGAATTTTAACAACAGTAACAAAAGATGATGGCTATGATGGTGCAATTCAAGCTTGCAAGGCTCTTAATTTCTTAAACACAGCAATAGCGGTATCGGACCAACCCTCAATCTTAGATACGTGTGTGTGCCTGAATCGAATTTACTGTTAACGTGACTCAGTTTAACATTTCTTTGAGATGGTGTGCTAGCAGAAAAATAAGATCTGGAAATACTGCTTTATAAGATCTGTTTTAGCCAAATACTTGCATACAGGTAGTCCTCAACTTACGACCATTCATTTAACAACTGTTCAAAGTTATGATGGCACTGAAAAAAGTGACTTACAACTGGTCTTCGCACTTATGACTGTTGCAGAGTCCCCATGGTCACGTGATCATGCTTGGCAACTGGCATGTATTTACAATGGTTGCAGTGTCCCGGGGTCACATGACTGCCATTTGTGACCTTCCCAGGGGGTTTCCAACAAGCAAAGTCAATGGGGGAAGCCAGATTT